CTGGATTGAAGGACAAGATTCCCGACATCCAGAAGACGCTTGACTCCGTGCAGTTCTTGAAGCTCAGACAGGTTGGAGTCACCAATTGTGGCGCAATAAGATAGGGGGTATTGACGCTGCGCAGGATGAGGACGAACCGATTGAGACGACTTTCGAGCTGAACGACACTCTATACTCCAAGGCGAAGATCCCGCCGACGAACGAGGTCTACATCTGGCTGGGAGTACGTTTTCTCTGGACAGAAGGCGTAATGATGATGCTGATTGAAGTCAGGCCAACGTGATGCTGTCGTACCCCATCGACGAGGCCGAGACGCTGCTGCAATCCAAGCTGTCGACTGCGAAACTGAGTCTATCAAACTGCGAGGAGGACTTGGACTTCCTGAGAGAGCAGATTACGGTACGTCCACGACCCCGACCCATGAGCTGCTCAGAGCACCACCCATTGACAGAGAGCAGACGATGGAAGTTGCCATCGCGAGAGTCTACAACTGGGAGGTTGTTCAGAAGCGCAAAGACAAGGAAGACGGAAAGGGCGCCGAAAAGGACGAGGACAAGACCAAGGCCGGTGGCTAGTCGGAGAGTTGATACCAATTAAAAGATTTCATGATTTTTTTCAGCAATTCCAGGAGGCCTCGTGTGCAGATTCTCCAACCCCTAAAAGATTCGTCATGATGCGGCCCCGGAGATTGAGAGCCTCAAACGAGTCCCAGGGTTAAATGACGGGCAATCGGCCTAATGAGCGTGGCTTAGCCATCAAATACATAGTCCGGATTGTGAAAGACCCCGGCTGCCGATGGTGTCTTGAGCCTAACAGAACTGTTCCGTGCAACACCACGGACGGAATCGTCCCAGCGCAGCGAACCGCCCACCAGCAGACATGTGTCACGTCCCAACAGCGACCTCGTTGAGAACCATCCGATGTCTCATAGGGCCGGAATTAAGCCAGTCAGCCACATTTTTCCGTGCCACTGCCAACACTACCACTCGAGTTGCTCGACTCATGTCGCCCAGCGAATCAGTGCTGGAACACTGCATGCTACCACGCTGGCTGGCCAGGTTCTAGGTTAACTGGCAGGGCTGGGTGCCGTTCGCCGAGATGCACTAATCTACCAATCTACAGCGCCTCTGGCCGCGCGTGGTCGGCGGTTTAGTGGGTTACGTAAGTGTCGTGGCGGGCGATGCTCATGGAGCTGATGGGAAAGAGCATACGTACTTCGTATCTATTAGATGCGGGTGCGCAAGTGCGGTGTAGGCTGGCTAGTACCATTTTGAGGGGCAACCAGGGGCAACAGCGTGCGGGACCGGTCGCTATGACGAATTTTGGCATACGGCCAGCGAAGTGCACTTTAATTCAACCTCTCAAGCCGCCCCTACACTTGTGCAGGAGATCTCTCTTCCTTCCCCACAGCCAGGCCAGCTCCAGTGTCTTTTCTCTCCTGAACACCTACGATCCCGGTCGCCCTCTCTGTGCTCTTCTTCCTTGGAACAACAACTGACTGACCGTCGTGTTGATTCAAAACCGCCGCCTCTCCCTCCTTCTTCCAACCCCGCCTTTTTGGGAAATTCCCTCTTCAACCACAACCACCTCCTCCCTCTACACCGTTCTTCTTCCTCGTGAAGAAGACCCTTAAACAGCCCCACCATGGCCCAAACCGAACTCGATCCCAAGTATGACCAGTTCGACTACCCAACTGTCGCCCCGACGGCCCAGCCCGGTCACCCTGGCCACCTCACCGAGGAGCAGAAGGCTCAGGTCGCCCAGCTGCGTCTGATGCTCGAGTCTGAGGGCTACTCTAAGCGTCTCGATACCCTGACTCTGGTACGACTTCCCGGAAGCTAGACCGCAAGATAAGGATTGCGTGTCCAGTCCCGGCTAACATGGCATACATAGCTGCGTTTCCTGCGCGCCCGCAAGTTCGATGTCAACCTCTCCAAGCAGATGTGAGCTTGCCCGCTGTGTTTTCACGATTTACAAGACCGCCGACTAATCTTCCGTTTCCAGGTTCGTCGAGTTCGAGACCTGGCGTAAAACGACCAACCTGGACGACACCATTGCCGGCTGGGACTACCCCGAGAAGGCCGACATCTTCAAGTACTACCCCCAGTACTACCACAAGACCGACAAGGTTCGAATTGAGAAACACCTTTGGTCTATAGGCAAGGCTCGCTAACAATCACAACAGGATGGCCGTCCTGTCTACATCGAGCACTACGGCGGCATCGACTTGACCGCCATGTACAAGATCACCACGGCCGAGCGCATGTTGACCAACCTTGCTGTCGAGTACGAGAAGTGCGCCGACCCCCGCTTCCCCGCCTGCTCCCGCAAGTACAACCACCTTGTCGAGACCTGCTGCACAATCATGGACATGAAGGGAGTCCCCATCACTCGCCTGCCCCAGGTCTACGACTATGTCAAGAAGGCCTCCGTCATCTCCCAGAACTACTACCCCGAGCGTCTCGGAAAGCTCTACATCATCAACGCCCCCTGGGGATTCTCCACCGCCTGGAGTGTTATCAAGGGCTGGCTCGACCCCGTCACCGTCTCCAAGATCAACATCCTCGGCGGTGGCTACCAGAAGGAGCTCCTCAACCAGATCCCGCCCGAGAACCTGCCCAAGTCTTTGGGTGGTAAGTGCGAGTGCCAGGGCGGCTGCGAGTGGAGCGACGCCGGCCCGTGGCAAGAGAAGGAGTTCACGAACGAGCCCTGGTGGGCCAAGCCCAAGGCTGCTGGCGACGTCATCGAGAACAAGGGCGGCGAGACCGTCACCGCCCCCGCTGGCGGCGCGGCCCCCGCTGGCACCGCCGTCACCACCGACGGTGCTGCCGACCCCGCCAAGGCCCCTGCTGCGGCATAAGCGTCTCCAGATAGATTGCCATGCTTGAGTCGAAGCTCGGGGAGATTGTTGTTTTGGGGGCCAGGCGCTATTGACACTGGACGACACCAGTCAAAGATGAGGCGTTGGCGAGGCTTGTTGCATGAGAGTTGATGAAATTGGAGCGGGCTTGGGGATGGTTAAAAATAAGAGCTTCTGTTGTAGAGTCGCTCATACACGCGTTGGCCTTGGCTGAAATGTTACCTTATCTACAATATACATACTATCGCTTTCACTTTAACTTCTCGTCATGAATTAGCATATTTCGTGACAACCAGATTCAACATGGATAGACGTGAGATTTTGACGATTAACGCGTAGAAACGCGTCGGCAGACTTCATGTGGTATAACCCAACGCCGAAAACTCCTGAACCCAATAGCCCTATGATCTTTCCGTGACGGTATACTCACCGGCGACCCTCGCCCTCTCCATCTTGGCCACGGTCGCAGGCATATCCTTCTTCAGCTTGCCCAACCTCTCCACCGCTCCCCCAAACGCCGCCTTCGTCTCGCCCTGCCTCTCCACCTCGTCCAGCGGCAGCACCTCCGCATCCCTCGCCTTTAGCTCATCCTCGCGCGCCTTCTTGGCTGCCTCGACCGCCGCCTCGTCTGCGGCGGTCGACGTCTTGAAGTCCTGTGTGATGGCGGCCGCGACGCCGCCGGGCACGCTCTTCTTCAGCGCGGCGATCTCATTGAGGAGCTCCTCCTCCTCGCGGGCGAGGTCTTCGACGCGCTGGCGCAGGCGCGCGTCCCAGGGCTCGTAGGCCTCTTCGGGCTCGTCGGGGTTGCGGTTGGGAGAGAGGAAGACGGCGGGGTCGGCGTCGAGGCCGTTTATGGAGAGGTTCGGGGCGGCGTAGGTGAATGTCTTGTTGATGTACTATTTTTTTTCGCGGGAAGTGTTAGCATTCTGGATTTGCTGTTTTTCTTTCTTGTATTTGGTGTAACGTTGGTGGAATTGGCCCTTACCTCGTTGACGAGACGCTCGATGGGCGCCCTCAGTTCGTCCTCCTGCGCGCTGCTCCCTTCGATCTGGGGGAATGCCTTGTCGAGCTGGTCCTGCGCGGCGCGGCGCACGTTGTCGAGCAGGTATGCGAGGTCCTCGTTGGACTGCAGCTCGATTTTGCGGTGCGCTTCCTCCATGGCCGCGGTAGCCCCCCCTTTTTGTTTTTCGCCCTTTACTGGAGGTTCAGAGGCGCGATGTGTTTTTTTTCCGCCGCCGGAGGAGAGTCGTCTGTCAGCGGCCGGAGGCGGGGGTCGTTGTGAGAGGTGACAGCCCGGTCGCGATGTTAATCTGACCGTACAATTTAGATCGGCACGCGTCTAGATCCGTCGGCCGACTTCTGGGAGCGCGCTTGTTGACGGCCCCTCCTTCCACAATATGTTATCGCGACCCGTTTGTCTTATCTTATCTCTCTATCGATAGGGACGGTGCTGTGCCACTGCCGCATGTGACCCCAAGCCACATCCACTGCAACGTCCCCCGAACAACTGCCGACGTAGCGGGGACTCGAGTTACAAACATGGGCCAAATGTGATGGCAGACGGTGCACTTCTTCCCCATCACCCATCTTTCCTTCCCTTTTGGCCCTGCCAAATCCCGTTTGTGAGGCGAGCGAGTTGGCAAGCAGGTCATTCCCAGTAATCGGGGCCGTCCCCGAATGCAAGGGCTTTGACCTCAGATATTCCGAGTTACCAAGCTGGGTCAACTGCTTGAACTCATTTAGTTCCTCAACCTGGACTTTGAGAAAGAGGCAAGTCTCATCTGCATGGGGGCAGGTACTCAGCAGAGGAGATTTTAGCCTGCTGAAGAAGTGTACTCGGAGCTGATCTCGGCCCCACACCGAGCCGGTGCGCCCCCATGGATGACATGGGAATGGAACCATCGCAATCCTCTTCGCAGCATCACGCCTACTACGATGGAGAAAGTAGAGGGTATCTGAACGCTGAGCCAAGTGGAAGGTATAAAGTCAGCAACGACCAGGGAGGCCTCGCGGTCTGCTCTATGACTAACATGTGAACCCGTCTGCTCTTCTCTTCTTCTGTCGTCCCCTCTACTGTCCTCTCTACTGTACGCAATACTGTTCCTATCAACTCCTCCCCAAGAACCAAGCTGATCCTAGTTTACTCCTCACGAGATACGCTCCGTTTCTTCCTCTTCGGGCTCAGCCACACGCCGTACATCAACTCCTCCATTTGCGGAATCTCATTATCCGTGTATTTAAGCTTCCTGTAGTATTCCGCAGTGGGAAGCTGAGACCCTTCGGGAACGATGTCGTCAGGCACGCCACGTCGAGCCCTATCGCGGAAGGCGACACGTGCCGCAATGATATGCTCGCGCTGATGCTGTTCTATGGCAGTGACGCGCAGCTTGCCTGCTCCAATGGGTCCAGACTTGAGAGCCTGTCGGAAGAGCTCCGGCGAAGTTGTAAACTCGTCTATCTTGAGGCCTAGAGCCTCAAGGAAGACTGAGCCCATACTGTCTGTCAGCTCAACACATCGGATACGATGTTGAAGGATGTAGCCGAACCCCTGCTTCAACAGGTGCAAGTTGCCAGCGTTCAGGGGAGTTGCCTGACGAGCGTTCTTGCGAATTCCCGCGCAGTTGGGGTTATCGCCGACCGATGGAAACTTGGAAGATTGGCCGCGACCTCGCTTTGGCGGTTCCATGGGCTCGCGTTTGGCCCACTTCCGGAGGTTATCCATGAACCTCGAGACGTATCCTGGGCGCTTGTATTCCTCGGCGTTTGTCGGCCGGGAAATTCCATTTGGAATGCCGAGCTTCAGCGTAGTGTCGGTGCAGCCCTCGGGAGCCCGCCCGTGTAAACAGTCAACCCGAGCGAGCAAATAGGGCATGACAAGGGGATCCACCTTGGGGTCGCAGAGTTTCCTCATCTCATTCACAATACCGACGGACTTCACATGACCCACTAGTTCTTCGGCCGAGATCCGTTCAAAGGGATCGCCCGTGACTAAGCTCTGCTCTGCCAAGTGAACCATTTCGGCCAGGTAGGGGGCGGCCGTTGCACCAGATCCTGATGGCTGCTCGACAGCGGCGAAGGAAGACGCCGGAGAGGCGCCAGGAGGGGCGACAGGAGAGGCGCCAGGAGGGGCGACAGGAGAGGCGCCAGGAGCGGCGACAGGAGAGGCGCCAGGAGCGGCGACAGGAGAGGCGCCAGGAGCGGCGAAGGAAGACGCCGGAGAGGCGACGGGAGCGGCGACGGCAGACGTTGGAGGGGCCGTGAAGGGAGCCGTGGGCTGAGGGGAAGCTGACCGCTCACGATCACGCGTACCACGGGATCGGCCACCTCCACCGCGTTTGTCGCGTCCACTGCCGGCTGCGCTCGGGCTGCCGCGACTTGTAGTCTTGCGAATCGGCGAGCGCTTGCGGTAAGACGCCGCCGAAGAAGGCCGGCTATGGGTAGTCATGGCAATGCGGACAGCTTTCAAGATGCTGTCTACGGCAATCTGTGTCGCCGTCACTGTGTCGGCCTTGTACACTGCAGCCACACTGCCTGAGGCCTCACTCAGCCACCACGACACCATCTTGGGCAGCTGGGGCTCTGATGCCCGGATGATCTCGTCCACTGCATTAGTCCAATGCCGGACGTCAACCTTGATTGCGTCCTCCTCGGTGCCGGGCAAGTGGCTAGCGTTGGCTTCGACGGCGGGAAATGACACGACGGTCTTGGGATCTACAAGTTGTTCGCTGTCTAACTTGTATTTGCTGCCTTTGATGCTTTCGATCAGGTTGATACCCTCTTTGATCAGCTCGTGTGGTTCTTCCCACTCGACTTCGCCTTCGAACGGCAGGTGGAAGTTGTCAAACTCCTCACTGATTTTCGAACAGCCGCCTTCACGATTTGTGTACTTGTAGTCTGGACGGCCAGGGTTGAGAGCCCCTGCAAACGCATCCTTCTCCATGGCGAGAGCTGGCGGATGACGGCAAGGAGAGAGCTGGCGGACGAAGGCGAAGAGAGAGCTGGTGGACGACGGCAAAGAGAGAGCTAGCGAACGATAGCGAGGAGAGAGCTTGCGGACGATGGTAAGAAGAGAGCTGGCGAACGAACGATGGGGAGGAGAAAGCAGGGGTGATGTCGTGAGAGTGGACGGTGTCGTGAGAATGAACAGTGTTGTCAGGCTGGCTAATGATGGTCAAAACTGATGCCACGAAAACTGCAAAAAGGTCTAGGAGAAGGGGAACGGCACCGTCCTGGACATGGTGAATGTTGGGTTATCATTCTCAGGGCTGGTGGCCGAAACCCCTGTTCGACCGTTTGCTGTGATGCTCCATCCAGTGGTGGAAAGACGTCGTAGCTTTGAGACTCGCATTTCCGTTGATGCGGGCCCTGAACCCAGCATGTTCTCTCCGCTGCGCCTGCAAGTCTTTGCCAACGCGCCACTCAGATGAAAATGCTGAAAGAATCATAAGCAGCTCTCCGCATACTTGCCGTTGCGAAGCCCTCCTGTCTCATTCTGGGGCCTGGTCAAGAGACCAGACGGATGTACACACACTGATTTACCGGCATCTTCCAGCCTATTTCCCAGAGCATAGCTCCTTCCGCTACGCTTCGCTGCGCGTCAGGGGCGGAGCGAGGGAGTTACGGGTGATTTTGCAAACGCTTGGAGAAATCAACATAAGGGATCTTTTTGCGGATTGCTCGACCCTTCAAAGCCCTTCGCAAATTTGTCGCCCGAGCAGCGCTGCTGTGAGGTTATTTCGAGAGGACAGGAGGGCGGGTCTGTGAGAGTAGGCGCGAGGGCAGACGCGAGGGTAGACGCGAGGGTCAGGTATGCAGGAGAAGTAGGTTCCGGAGTTTCGCTGGACGCTGATTTCAGAGTCCACAGTATCTGGTTGAGCATTCTTTCTCTCCTTCAGTACTATCTACACACCTACTGGAGGTCTCCACACATCTGTCTGCTTTCCTCGCACCTTGGACAAGATGATACAAGTAGAGATGCTTTTGAAGGTACGGACGATATCACAAGGGGCCAAATCAGCAGTTGCGAAAGTTACAAGAAGAATCCAACAGAAATGCAGTCGACATAGCACAGCAGGCACTCAATATTCCTCCCGTGCAAGTATGACATCTTGTTTGTGGGCTACTTTCATGGTGTTTAACGTAAGTCAACATAATTTTCTCCTTTTCACCGCCACCACAATGACAAACGGATATGTACAGCAAGTCACACGGCCAAGCCTGCTAGGATGGAGCCTTGATCCGTCGGCAACATCCGGAGAACCGTTTGTTCTTGCGACGGTGATAGCGCTAGCACAGCTCAATCAACCAACCTTCATCGTTTGCTATGTGCGATGGACAGAACCTGGGCAGAGGGAAAGACAGAGATTGGATGTGAACCCTAGCCCCCAGCTTTCATTTCTCTAAGATGCTTGGTTAGGATCTTCAATACTACACAGGATTTTCTGGATTTAGATTCACATCAAACAGCTGCACAAAGCAAGGCACAAAGCAAGGTACAAAACCCAATGCTTGAATATCTGCTAGATGTTCTGTCTTGATTCCATCATACAACGTCGGAACCAATAAGAAGAGGCACTTGGATTGTCTGTGGTGGATATTGTCTCTCTCACCCGTCAAGTTTCGTCGATGGTCAGTTAGGCTTTTGCCTCGCCTGGTGAAGGAAATGAGAGATCGGCGCTGGTCCGATGCGCTTGCATGCAAAGAACCGGTTGCTTGTATCAATCAATTACCAGTAGATCTACAGAATATTTCAAAGAAGATCGAACAGTAGCCGCAGCATTTTTACGTAGTGCTGTTGTTGCTTGATGCTGTACCGTGCAGATGTGGCAGGCTACTGGATGGCTGCATCCCCAACTCATGGGTCTAACTAAGCTTGGATGCAGTGTTGCTAATTACCTGGCTGAAAGGGTTTGGTTGTCAGCTTCTTGGGCCAAAACTGTACCTTGTGTAACCTTGGTCGGGATGAGCGAAAAGTTTGGATGTGGCCATTCATAGGCACCTGTCTCCGATCGCGTCCGCCTCAAGGCTTTCAGGGTTGGGGGAGGATCTTGCCGCTTGCTTTTCTGCCTTCCGGTTTGATCTCCAGTGTTCTCGTTCTTCTCTCTGAGGGTCTGCTAGAACATTGTGCACTGTCTAAAATGCTTTCAGGCATTTCCCCCCCTCTTTGACCATCTGCCAGAGTAAGGTGTTTTCGACTTGGAGTCAGTCCTACACCTTCAGCCCTGCACCATCTTCGCCAGGACCCGTCACCAACTGCCTTCATCCACACTCACTCCAACATTCTTCTCATCAATCATCTTATTCAGTCAGCCTCACATCAGTCACCCACAATTATTGGCGAGTCCCACGATGCCTCTGCCCGTTTGGAAAAGGCCAGGCGTTGCATACAATGTAGGCGACGTGGTGACCTTGTATCCATACGAGCCCGTCCGCCCCCATGGCCTGGGACAGTACTACAGCAATCCCCTCCCGAAGGATCACGGCTACGGAGAACTGCGCAACTTCGTTCGGACCGACCGCCGTCATCACGCCAAGGTCAAGATCACGGAGGCCGTCAAATTCGGCGAGAACCGAAAATCTCAGATTTTCGCCTGTCAAGTCGTTGAATTCCCGTCCGAAGAACGCCCCAAGTTCTACCAAGAACCCCTCAGCATCGTCGACCCCAACACCAAGCAACGGGAGCCAGTGACCCGACGACTTGTCGCCAAAGCGATCGACTATGGCTACTTTCCGAGCAGCTTCGGTGGCCCTTACAGCAACGCACAGAATGCTGATGGCATTCTCAGCCGTATTCACGCAGCGCACGCTTACTTTCGCTACAACAAGAGGACGGGTTACCCACACACCATGCCGCAATTCTACGGTGGCTGGGCTATGAAGGTCAACGGTGGAACAGATTACGCGGGCAATGATCACATCAGGCTCGTCGGCTTAATTCTCATCGAGCACATTCATGGCTACTCCATTGAGGAACTATGTTATCGCGATGGTGGTGATGATGGTGTTGATACCGAATACCTCGGGAAGCTTATCCCACCTCCTGGTCCTGTGGGCTTCCTTGGGAACGATAACCAATTGAGACACATCACCTTCGACCTGGAGAAGCGGCAGCTTGTCATACAGATGATGCTTCACGGTCTCGCCGCGGGCTTCCAAATTGGGGTTGAACATCACCACTGTCAACCGTGGAACGTTTTCATCACTATGAAGGACGGAGAGACAGATCTTGACGAGCTGCGAGTCGTTTTCTTGGACCATAGCCATACCCAGGTGTGGCATGAGACCAAGTTTGCCGAAAAGTATGGCCGAATCTACTGCTTGCAGAAGCTCCCCCACACACCTCATCCTTTCCTGAGATGCGACATCGACGCCATTCCAGAGTTTCATGGCTGGTGGCCTCCAGCCTTTGGTGATTACATCGAAGCCATCCCAGAAACGAAGAAGGATGAGTGGAGGTACAAGGTGTTCGATGCGTGGCTGAAGAAGGTTTTTGGGCCTGTGGCAGAGGCTCCCTTCATTCGTAAGCGACTTTCGCCCTATGATACCAAACAATTGGACATCAAGCAACTAGATCCCAAGCGACCATTCGCGAACAAGACGTATTCGACCTTCGAGCTACTAGACTACTTCGAGGAGACGGAACAAGCGGTGCAAGCGATCTTTCGACTTATAGATGACCACCCGGAAGGCGAGCGTAACTTGGAGGGGGAGAAGTTGGCAAGAAAGGCAATCATCAAGGGGTTGCGGTCTTACGCTGTCAACGGCATCCAGCATCCCACATCGCAGTACAAATTACCGATGGCATATAAGCTCAGCCAACCGACCGCCGCAGCTGGAAAACGCAAAGTTTCGAATCTGGTTGCCAAGTTTGAATCCCAGTCGACCGATGTGTCGACCATCTCTCAGAACCCTGGACGAACACCTAGGGGCTTTGTCAGTCGAGTGCCTCGCCCGATTTCGACACAGATCACGACTCCCAGCACAGTCAGTCCTGCTCCGACGTCTGTAACTCTCACCAGACCATCTTTCAACGTCCCGTCTCGTGTCTTCCCATCTCGCAACACCCCGCCCCTTCCCAGCTCCAGTCGCAGTGCCACGCCGGGCGACGAGAACCGCCCCCCTCGGAGCTGAGAGTATAAGAAGCCAGACTGGCGAAGCCCTCCAGCCCCTTTCTCGAACTCAAGGTCAAAGAACCGAACGTACCACTCTCGGCACCATGGGCACCACGGGCACCACGGGCACTACGGGCACCACGGGCACTACGGGCACTACGGGCACTACGGGCACCACGGGTATCTCAAACAAGCCAGGACCGGAAACCACCCCGGGAATTCGGCGTCCTCATCGTCCATCATCTATCAGAATACCGCCTTCCGACTCCATTGACCAGCCCAAGTCAGCGGACTCCGCTAGAGCGCCCTTGGGTTCATTGGCAAACTTCGGCAGCCGGCCTGACGTCTCGCAAAGCCGGGATAGCCCTACACCGACTACTCCCAGAGCCAGGCGAGGCGCAGACCTTCAGCAACAATCAAGCACTTCATCTCCAGGACGCAGACACAATCGCCAGCAATCAAGCTCTTCAACCCGAGGGCGCGGACACAGTCGCCAGCAATCAAGCTCTTCAGCCCAGGGACCTGGACACAGTCGCCAGCAGTCAACCTCTTCAGCCCAAGGACGCGGACACAGTCGCCAGCACTCAAGCGCTTTGGCCCAAGGAGACTCCATCACGTTGCCCTTGCGCAGGAGGGAGAACCGTCCCTCCCAGGGCCCAACGACTCCCACAGCTTTTGCTCAACAGTTTCCTGGTCAGGAGAACAGGCCTACATCATCGTCTCAAGAGGAGATGGATCTTGACGATGAACGTGGCTATGGCTATTGAAGCCTGCTTCCGGGCGAAGAGGAGGTGAACGCCGGAAGGGTACGGCGAGGCACATAAATGGATGTTGGAGTGATTTTGGACATGTTTGGTTTAGGTACTTGGGGCTTCAGCTAGACTGCGTCCATTCCCCCGCCTTCTCATGTCCAGAGAAATTTGGAAGGACGAGGTTTTTGACTATCCCAGACACATGTTGGACAAAAGAAAAGGAGAGATCAGAGGCATAATGACGCGCACACAGACTGTTTTCAGCGGTCACGGAAGTTGGACTAGATGTTGGCATTGTTAAGTATTTAGACTTGATTTGATTTGGTTTCCTTCTTCCTTTTTCGGCCTTCTTTGCTGATGGCTGACTTGTGATGTGTTTGATTCGTGACCTCGCAGCGGGCTGCCCGAAGAGTCCAAAAACGTGATGGGATAAGCCCATGCAGTGATCGTCGATGAGACTCGAGCATTGAGATGGGGTGTACATTGTGTGTGTAGCTGTTTCCAATCTTCCCATCCCACCAGTCATGATAGCAACCGAGGTGACCATCTTGTGCCTAATGCCAACAGTGGTATGCCGCGATCGCCTTCCAAGCCATTCATCGTCAGGCATAGAACCCACAAGGGGCAGCATGTCGAGGCAGAAGTGGTGTGAGGCACGCCTAGTAGTACCCTCGCCCATATTTTCCTTGAGGTGTCCTAGCATTCGATGGCAGACTGGCGCTGAATGCCTGTGGATGTTCAAATTGTCAGCTCGGTCGGCGGGATGGCAATCAATTCCACGGGCGGTTCCAACGGAAATGAGAACCGGGCCGCAAACGAAAACGGCAAGCCCTCCTTCCCAGCATCGGAAGAAGAAATTTTGTTTTGACACCCGGCTGGATGTATTCACACATCGAACCAATGAAATCACGGCCTTGTCTCCGTCTTTTATACCTTGATCATGGCCACGACTAATCTCCATCAATGGCGTCGCGACGGGTATCGCGTACACAGTCCAGGCTGAGGATCGTCTTCTTCAAGAGCGCAAACGACTTGGACAAGGTATGAGGAACCATGCTGGGAAAGTTTGAATCAGACGTGAATGCGAACCAAAGGCTCCCCAGCGGATCACGACGCTCGAAGAAACCTTCTGAAGCGAAGACTTCAAGGTGATCATTTCGGGTCCCGTACCCTGATCGAGGCGTTCGGAGCGGTTGAGAGAACTGGAGCCATCCATATCTTCAAGGAATATTCCTCAAGGTGCAGCAGCACCTTCCGCAAATGCCTCAGCCTTGAAAAAATTGTACAACGCTGGATTACTCACTTCCCAAACATCAGATGTCGTGCAAACAAAGCACCCCTGTCACGAGAAAACATCTCGGGGCAACACCGAAAATACGTACCCCCAAATCCAACCCGCACGGCCCAAGCCACCGAGCAAGACCGCCGCGGTGGAACCCACCCGACAGGCCAGGCGCTGACTGCACCGCACTCATTGTTGCACCTCAGTCCAGCGCCCGATAGGAAAACCCCACCATCTTATCAATCTAATCACCGAAACATCCCCAGCACCTCACGTTTTCGACAATCATTCCCTCACCTTCCCCAACCCAACCCAACCCATCGTTGGCGCCTCACTCCCCCTCCTCCTTCTCTCTTCGCCGCCAAAAGCCACAACAAACACAATCCTCGAAACAGAGACAATGGCCGACCAAATAACGGAGTCCTCCCTCCGCGACGCCCTCGCCCAGCGCCTGCAGGCCGTCCACGTCGAAGTCACAGACATGTCCGGTACGCGAAACCACCCCCCTCCACCCTCCTACGATACCAAAAACGTCATACCCCGCCGGCGCCGGTGCCGCTTCCGCGACCCGCGCAACCTCCTCCCAACATGACCTGCGACGCAACAGCTGACCTCTTCTCTCTCCTCACACAGGCGGCTGCGGCCAATCCTTCACCTCGCTAATCGTCTCCCCCGCCTTCGAGAAGCAAACGTCCCTCAAGCGCCACCGCCTCGTCAACGCCGCCCTCAAGGACGAGATCGCCCGCATCCACGCCTGGAGCGCAAAGTGCCAGACCCCCGCCGAGTGGGAGCGCGACCGCGCCGCCGCCGCCGCCGACGGTCCCCCTCTGGACGGCACGGTCGGCGGACGAGTGGAGGGCGTTGCGCAGTAATGGGGAAAGGAGGAACATTTTCTTTAAATACATACCCAGCCCCTTCCTTCACCTCTTCACGGTCTACGGGTTGTGGGGAAGAAACATGGCATATTTGACGATGCGGCATGAGGTTCGGATATCATGAAACGGAGGACATCACCAGGATCTCTCGGACGGCGCGACAGGTGTTTGGACCAAGACACCCATTTTTCGAGTATATACATTTTGATTTGCGGGAAATGTCAATGAAAAGTTGAAAAAAGGAAGCAGGCTTTTTCGTGGCTTCGTTCTTTGTCATATATCAACCTATTTGAAACTTGCTGCTCCAAACAGCATGCCTGGACACCAGACGAAACAGCCCCCATTAGTCCTACATCTAAAACAACCCAAGCAAGTCCTCATTTGTCTTCTTTCCGTTGCCTTCACTTGGTTGTGTGGGTGGGTTCTGGGTCTGGTTCAACTGCATGGCCGCCGGCAGGGGCTGGCCTGATCCCGTGTTGCCAAAGTCAAGGCCGGAGAATCCATTCATCAAGTCGTTCATGCCGCTACCTCCTGCTGCTCCAGGGCTCATGGGGTTCGCGGCTGCTTGTTGCTGCTGCGGCGGCGGGGCGTCAAACAGACCCATCATATCAGCCATAGCACTTGATGGCGCGCCACCCGAGGGGCTGGCAACTCTGTCTGGAGTGTTGACATTGCTGTTCTGCTCAGCAGACGCAGGAGCAGCACCGTCGAAGTCGATGTCGAGCAGGTTTTCGATATTGTTTTGTGGTGGGGGGTTGCCGTTGGCAGCTGCCGCCACCGACGCGGCGATAGGGTTCTCGGCTGCCTCCTGCCGTTGTTCGCGGATGGCCGCGCGCTGGATCTCGTCCGCTCCGAAACGACCCTTACCGACGAATGATTCCGGTGGCTTGTGGTATACAGATGCAAGAGTGGAAAGCTCAGCCAGCAGCTGCTCCAAGAGGGCAGGGGGGAGACTGGTCATTGTTGTGGAGATGGCCGGCTTTTGTGAGAGAATGATGTTCTTGGCGACGTCCAAGTCACCCGACAACAGACGCCAGTAGACATAAGCTCTGTCGCGGATATCGGGGTTGTCGTTATCGGTTGTCGCCGACTGCAGTACCTTCTGTACAAGGCCTTGTGTGTTGCCAGGCTTCTTCAGGAAGAGCTTGACAACTGCTGTGAGAATTTGAAGTTGGGTCTTTTGTAGTTAGCGCTGGAATCAACATATAGAGGGAAGAACGACAAACCTGTGTGAATTCCTCCATGAAGCCGTCTACGAAGCTTTCAAGAATCTCATCCGCATTGTTAATCTTCTCCGCATACTCACCGACGATCCAAATAAGCGATCCTCTCGCGGTAGGCTCGTCGAGTTCATCGATGTACTGGCATAACGTAGGAATGACGCCTTCGTAGCCGGGATATTTACGCAGAATATCCTTAATCACAACCACGACCTCCTGCACAACATAGTTGACCTTCGTGGCAATAAGGTCCAGCAGCGCATTGACGCACTTCTGGCTGGCGCTCTCAATCTTAATAGCGACCTGTCCAATCGCCTTGACTGCGCGCTTGACGAAGTCCATGTCGACTTCCAGCGCATACTCCTTCAACTCTGCGAGAAGCTGATCAAAGTTCTTGTCGTTGGCTATGCGGACCATGATCTCAAGCTTCTGGAGCTTGACATAGGGGGGGTCGTTATATTTACAAAAGAAAACACGCAGCTCCTTGCTAAGAATGTCGGGCTTGGCCTGGAGAAGGAGGTCGATGTTGCGCAGAGCGACGTACTGAACTTCGGGAGCGGAGGCGACAAGCGTAACCAAGGGAGGCGCCATCTTCTTGAGATACGCCCGCACCAGCTCGGGGTTGATCGCCTTCATGTGGATAAAGACGACCTTGACAGCAGCCAAAACGACACTGGGGTTGACGTGCTGGAATTGGGGTGCTACTCGCTCGCAAATGTGCTCGGACTCCTTAACGTCCACGGCGGGGTAATCGGCCAGCGTGGTCAAGATCGTGACGCGTCCCCATTCTGTGCACTCATTCAGAGCCATCAAGAGCTTCTTGAGCGTTGCTGGGGTCACCACGAGGGCTCTCGTCTCTGGGGCGGTTTCGGTGATTTCTGAGAGGGCCTGAACCGAGTTTGCGACGACCATGGGGTTCGGGTCGCCGATGAGCTCCTGCAGGGATTCCAAGAAGCCGTTTTCTATACACATGGTCGGGTTTAGGTCGAAAAGCTTGGCCACGCAAATGGCGGCTGTCTTGCGAACGTAGGGCGACTCGTCTCGTAGCGTTTTCCGCAGCGGTTCCTCCATGTAATCCACCATCTTATCGACTCTGATACACCCCATCGTTCGGATCGCTAATGCACGGATAAGTGGGTTTGGGTCTTCGGAATCCTGAACGAAGGTATTGACGGCAAGAATGCAGAGGTCGGGGTGCGACTTTGCGTAGTTCCTTGGCCCCTGTCAGCAACTTGCTTTGACACAATCGTCGCTGGTGATAGCGACCGACCCTGCGGAAACTCACATGAGGTATAGATAGACGAGCTTCTTCTGGTCCAGATCTCCGGTCGCAATGTTCTTCAGAACGTCAGGAAACAAAGCTGAGACATCCTTGCCCAACGTCATCGCCATGATGGTCTTCTGAATGGACTCCTTGCGCTCGTAGGCATACTGAGAGACAAGACCTGCTCGCAGCTCGAAAGTCTCTCCCTTCCTCGGGGGAGCGAAGGCCCCACGAATGCGATTGACCGCCATGGTGCTGGATGTGTTGCGTGTCGTCGAGGAGCTCGATGTGTGCTGTGGTAGGACGGAAGATGGAACGGTGAACTCGCGTCAGGAGCGGGTCGGGGGAGTGGGAGAGGTGGCCAGTCCGATCAGGACCTGGACAAGCTCATCCGACACGAAACCGTCGGCGATGTGACAGGCGTGTGCTTTCTTTGTGTCGTCAATGTTTTCGGGAGATGCAGAGAGTGCACCTAGTCGGAATTCGCCAAGAAGATGAGGTGGTCGAAGAAGTACCTGTCAGTGGAATGCCCCCCTACTGCGCAGGCAAGCGTAACCTTAATCCCGGCCTGGCCAGCCTGGCAGTCTGGCAATGCCTGGCTGAGGCGCCGCCTTCCCGCTAAGTGAATGGACCTCACCCCTGGAAACCCCCACTTTAGCTGCATGCATGTATCGGGTCGCTCGTCGTCAGAGATACCAAGGTACCTGCTTTCTTGGTCCTCTTACATCAGTCCTGCACTTTCTCATCACCAGACTTTCGATTACTTTCTGATACTCAAGAGGCAAATCACACGATTTAGAAGAGCAAGCGATCTGTAGATCTTTATCCCAATCTGGCGGCTTCGTTGATCCGATAATCACAACCACTCTTCACCTCAAAGTAAACAACCAGGATCACCATGGTAAGTCTCAGCCTCGAAGCTCTTGACTGTTGTGTTTCTGACAAAGGTCGTCAAGGCAACATTACCCAATCTTCGCCGTCTCTTCATCGAGGCAAGATCCGATGATGAAGAACGTGAAGTGTCCAGGAAAGCGGTACGTTCATCGACAAGGGTATGTGACGGCACTTGGCTCACACTATGTTTACAGTTCTACAACGCCGTGCTCTTCATGAGCTCGGTAGCAATCTTCAGCCTGATAGCTCAGAGAATGAACGCAACAAAGTGAGAAAAGATGAAGCCACAAGACGTTCTTATATTAAGACCGGCATGCCGAGGGTCTTGGTGTTGGCGTTTGCACCCGATGGACGCAAAGGCTTGGGTGGAATCACCCCTGCAACGTCCAGCGAGAACGGCACCGACACACTCAGAGTCGTCGATCCGTCAGGACCAACTCTTGTTATCTTTTGCACGAACAGGTCTTGGCATCTCCGATCTCACGTTCGGATCAGCAGGAGCTTGTCTAATACCTGGCGATGCAAGCCTGCGATGGCGGCAGTTGGCCGACCTAACTGAATGACGGCCAGAGGTCGGATCATAAGACGGCCGTGTAGACTGTTTGCTTTGAACACAACGCAAGGGTTTGTTCAAAGTTGCCGCTCACAAGGACTATTCGCAGCATGACGTTATGAGCTGTGGAAAGCAGCATGAATAATGATTACTTTAATTACTCGAGCATCCGAATGCATTCTAAGCCTTTCAGGTCTATAGACATGAAGCGCCTACGCCTGCCACATTTGGTTTCCATACACGGGCATAGTTCGACCCCGACATGGCAATCAGAACACTTGATCTTGGTCAGGGTTGTTCTTCCCTTGAAGTATATTACTGGTCAAAAATCATGTCTGGTAAACCCAACAAGCAAAAAAGAGTTCAATGCCGAACATGAATTCCGCTTTCCAAATTGAAGCTAGAAATCTATCTACGATTCTTGACCCCTCGCAGCCTTCCAGATCCTTATCAACGGCCCATCGACACCATACACAGGATCCATCCTCGGCAAACCGACCCCTTCGACTTCCTCGACGAGACCCTGTTTCTCCTGTAACGGCTTCCTCCCCATCTCACTCCGCCACTGCGGAGATTCCTCAGGATACACTCCAACATACCGATACTCCTTCTCCCCCGGTGCCGCCTTCTCATCAGCGACGGAAGCATGCGCCACACCGGCTGGTACGACAACAACATCGCCGGGTCGCACCCAGCACCGCACGCCGCTGCCGGCGGGATCAGAGCCGCCTTCGCCGAAGACGAGCTCAGAACGGCCTTGGAAGATGCCTGGATGTACCTCAGTAAGAGAAACCTTGAATGTTTCTAGACAGAATGATGAACAGTTACCGTAACATTCGTGAGTATTGGGATGGAAATGCTTTAACGTGATCGTTCCCCAAGTCCCCTGCGCAAAACAAAAACCTCGTTAGTTGAAGGTAGATAAGTAGAAGATCTAGATGACTGACCTTCTTCACCCATCCGTACTGCTGCAACTTCTCTGATACCTTGTCCTCATCCAGCACGTCGTCAGTGCCCAACACTCCACGATACACAAGCACAGGAAAATCGCTATTGGGACAGTGTTCCGTGCGCTTCACCAAATACGTCTCCGGCTGGATCTGCTCTCCGTCGGCGTTTGTCATATTGGTGGTCGGCTCAGGTGGGATGGGTGTTGTCTCCAAATAAACGGGCGGCTGCATATCCATTCCCATGGCCATCGTTTTATCCGTCACCACCGTCCGGCAATCAGGTCCCTTTCAGGAAGCTCCACGCGTGTAGAAGTCCTGCGTCATCTTTTTACCCAAATGACCTTGGCTAAACTGCTGGGTGGGTGTGGACAAGCGATGATTGACTGCAGGCCAGTGTGGGAGGTACAACGAGTTATCTCCGAACACTCGGAAGTCGACCATCCAGCTCCGACGATCCCCTCCCATAACCGTATTTTGCCTCTTACATATCTGATATTGGTATCTTCAACTTCAAATGCTTACAACATCATTCAATAAACTCTTCATTCCTCATCTTCATCTCCGGCCGCAGCACCCTCCTTTACAGGCGCCTTCGCCTCCTGCTTCCTCCACAACCCAGCCAGAAACTCATTCGTGCTCGCCTCCTCCAGCCCCTTATCCTCCCTCTTCTTCAAAAACCTCGGAAACCGCAGACTCAACCCGCGGTCCTCGCTCACCAGCCCAATAGCAGCCGTGTACGTCGGACTCAACGTCACATCGGCAAACGCCATCTCCCAAACCTCCTGCGGCTCGAACCACACGTCCGGCTCCGGGCCAGAGTACTCCACGAACCCGGGCTTCTGGCCCCGCGTATTACGCCTCTCCCCCGTCGCCTCGCCGTCGTCGTAAAAGTCCCGGTTCGCCTTGTAGAAGGCGTCCGTGAAGCCTGACATGCACTTGCACACCACCTCGAGGGACCCCGTGTCCTCGTTACGCACAGCCATGAGGATCGGCGACCACCACTTGGCCTTGCGCCCCTGGCCGTGCCAGCCCGCGACGGGGATCATGTCGAGCGTGTCGAAGCTCGAGCTGTAGTCCTTCTTGACCTTGAGCCACGAGTCGAGGCGCTTATCGGGCTCGTATGTTGCGAGCAGGGGCTTGCGACGGCCCTTTTTCTTGGGGGCTTCTTCGTCCTTGGCGCCTTTCCCTCGCTTCGTTTTGGAGGGTGTTTTGGGTTCTTCGGCTGTCTCTCTGTCGGCTTCGGCGGTATCGTCGCCTTGATACGGGATGTCTGTCAAATTATCCAAGATCTTGACCATGATGCCCTCGCATTTGATGTCTGTCGCTTGTTTGAAGAAATCCAGGACGGCGTCGGAATCCTGTGATGTAGCATCCAAGTTTTTGACCCAAGTGAACTGGTGTGAAACCTCAATGAACATGGAACGGAGAAGCTCTCTCCTCTCCCGGAATGGTCTGTCCAGCAGAGGCTGCCCGTTCAGGAACATGAGGTCGAACGCAAACATGCACACATCGACCTGGATGCTGCCAATCGCGACATCTTTGCGAGCGCGGTTCGTGAGTGTCTGGAAGTTCTTCAAGTCGCCAGTTTCTCTATCCACCGCAACAACTTCACCCTCCATGATGAAGCTATCTACGCCTTCGCCGCGGATCTTGGGCATCAGCGCGACCAAGTCGGGGTATTTGTCGGTCATGAGTTCGAGGTGCCGCGAGAAGATGGTGACCTTCCCCTTCTCATCGCAGTGGATCTGTGCGCGCTGGCCATCATACTTGAACTCACATGCAAAATCTCTGCCTTGCAGCTTGGTGAGCATTTCCGAGAGGTCCCTTGTGATGCTTCCCAACATGGGCCGTAGAGGAATGTGCAGTGTCAGGCCGCAGCGTATCAGGAGTTCGTCGCAGACGCCAATTTCTAGCAAGACCGGGACGAGGTCGTTGTAATTCGGCCGCCGCGCGAAGCATGCCTTGACGATTTCTTCTGCCTTGCTCCATACCTCGGCCAGCTCATCCTTTTTCAGTTTCTGCAAGTCTTTCGCAGACCGCAGATGGAACTCTGTTCCTGCCGGACGCGAGAGTAGGAAAGCTCTGGAAAGGGCGATCAGCATAGTCGTCTTCACAGCGCCAATTCGCAACTGAGGGTCGTGTTAGTTTGGGTAACGTTAATAAAGTAAGATTTTACTCACATGCTGACACAGAGTCCGTACAATGTACCTGCTCTCTTCGCCACCACGCGCATCTTGAAGCAATCGATCAACGATTCTCTGCTTAGCTTCACCGCTTCCCTGCCCTTGACTGTTTGCGATCTTAACCAAGGACTGGTAGACAGCCTGAATTGTTAACGGCTTCGGCTTACGCAGTGTGAAGCTCTGTTTCTTCTTCGCCTCAAACGCTACATCGCCCGCGTCGCCATACTTGTCGTATATTGTCTTCAAGGCCCGACCATCTAAGCCGCACACCTGCTTCAGTGCCTTAGATATCGCCGACCCACCCAGACCCAATTCCAAGGAGATATAAGGAGGTGAAATGGCATTTGTCGCTAGCCAAACTGCCGGAAGAAGACTGTCTGGATCTGCTTCGATCAGCACCCGGATGGAGTTGACCAAGGTGTCGACGATCTTGATCCGGCTTTGCGTGCCGTTCACTAACACGAAGCATCTTGTCAGGAATGCGTAAGATGCATGGCCCCCTTCAGACGCCCACTGCTCCTTGAGCTGAGGGGTAAACTCTGATGGGTCAAATGTCAGAGGACTTTGATCTAGGGGAATCGTCGCTGATGCGGTGTCTTCCGCGTTGGCTACCGAAGACAGTGACAGAGTGTTCTTCTTGGGCGCCTGCGGTAGCACGACAGCTGGCTTGGACGGTTCGGCGACAGCTGATGGTACTTCCTGAACTTTCGATGCTTCTAATGGAGAAGACTCTTTTGCAGGCTCAGGACATGGCGTCGAGGCGGCCCTCTCATTCTGGACTTCGGCATCCCACTCGGCTTGCAGTCTCCTTGCGAGCTCCTCATCCGTCAACTCCGAATTCTCACCATTCACTGCGTGACTATTCGGCGTGGCCTCTGGTGTATCCTTTGATGTTTCTTTAGGCGTGGTGCTGCCATTCTGCCTCTGTTTTGAAAAGAAGTACTCCAGTCCCCTCGACGGCACTCCGGATGAGGATTGGTCGTTGAGCTTCCGCTTCTTGGATGGGCTGGGCATGGCGGCGGTATTAACAGGGAAAAGCCGTTACAAAAACCATACCGTTTGAAATAACGAATGACGTGGTTCAGGTAAGGTCTTGAGTGAATAAAGAATCGGAAACGGCGTCACTTCATGTCGATAAACAAGTCACTTTGGGGTCGACATTTACAGCAGCTCCGTCCTCGTCCCCTGCACGCCCAGCGCCTCAGTCAATGACGCTGCACCAGCCATCCAAACACAGAGGGCCCAAGCTCCCAAAAGACGTCTTACCTTAGTCATCAGGTACAAGTGGGTCTCCAGAGGTGAGGACACCGGCAGCACCTCTTTTCCGTCGCCGGCGCTAAGCCCCTTCCATCAAGCGACTTTCACACAACTTGAGAAATCTTTCCCTACCGCTGCTGTGTGCGCGCGCGCGTGTGGCCAGCCAAACCACAGCGAAAAAGAGTGCAGCCCCACCAAGGCGGTTTTCTCTCACGAAGCCCGCCCCCCCTCCACGTCGTGAACGAACCTCGAATCCGACCTCGACCTACACCTCACACCCCCGTGATACCCCCCGCCCACCACAACCACATCTCCCCCCCTTCAGAACCAGCAGCCATGTTGAACGGCGAAGATCCGCCTGAGCGGCCCGACTACATTGTCAACATCATCAATGGCCTCGAGCGTTACAACCCCGAGGCCGTCGTCACCCTTGAGGCGTACCTCCAGGAGCAGTGCGAGCAGAAGACCAGCGACTGCAATGCCAACCGCACACTCCTGAAGCTGTGAGTCTGCTCCCTTTTCCTGTCCTCGTCGTCGTTGGCCCCCTTTTAGCCATCGAGCCGAAACAAGCACGTCTCTTCTACTCTTGCCCAATCTTGTTGGTCTTGCGCCGGTTTACATGATGACCATAAACGTTTCCTATTACCTGACATTGCGCCGGTCCGGCTTCCGTCATGAACCGACCAAACGTCGCAAATGAAGTCAAACCGTGGTGATACCTGAACGAACACCGGACAATCATCTTCATCTTCATCAGCACCTTGTCGAATACGACCAGCGGCTAACAAAGTATCTTTTCTCTCTGCCAACAGGTACCAGCTCAACCCCGACCGCATCAAGGACGAGGTCGTCACCAACATCCTCGTCAAGGCCATGACCCAGTTCCCCTCCCCTCAGTTCACCCTGGCCCTGCACCTCATCAACGCCTCCGCCGTCGCCCAGGGCGAGCTCCACGAGGCCGTCACCAAGCTGCGCACCCTCAACTCCCAGCTGGAGGGCGCCCAGTACGCCCGCTTCTGGAACACCATCGACGGCGACGACCTCTGCGCAGACCTCATCGCCGACATCTCCGGCTTCGAGGACCTCATCCGCGCCAACATCGCCGGCCAGGTCTCCCAGGCCTTCCGCGAGGTCTCCCTCTCCCAGCTCGAGTCCTGGCTCGGCCTCAGCGCCGACGCCACCGCCAAGTTCGCCTCCGAGGTCGCCGGGTGGACCGTCAGTGACAACGGCATTGTGTCCATCCCCCGCAACGCCGAGAACGAGGCCAAGAAGACCGAGATCAGGGAGGACGTCAACGTTGACATGTTCTCGAGAGTTCTTCGCAGATCATGGGAGGAGACGGCTTAAGAAGAAAGAAAAGATTTGAGGGCCAAACGTTCTGGATGTTGTTGGTGAGAGGATGAATCAACTCTGTTTCCTGTTTTCTCAAGGAGAGAAACAGAAGAAAAGAGGTACCCTTGGCTGCTTGACGGCTCCGTTAACGGAGTTCAGGGCTGGAAGAGAAGCATGGCGGCAAAATTACCGGCGTTCATTGTGACTTTGGAATTGGGAGAGCCATAGAGGATATCCCCGAATATGAGACATGCCACAAAGAAGATGTGTCTAAGAGTGTCGTATGATGTTGTTCATTGCCACGTGTCTACAAACAATGCTTTTCCCATTCCCCGATTTGTTACATCACGCCTCAAACCAAACGCTCATCGCTTCGCGAGCTCCTCCCACTGTACACCACACCACTCCTCAAGATACCCCGCCTCGCCCGCCTCAACCCCTCTCTCCTGACAATCCGCCTCGCACACCCCGACAATAACAGTACCCCAATCCATGCCCTCCAGCGAGACCTCCTCCGCCTCCAGCTCCGCGATCGCGTTCGGCGTCATCTGCACCTCAAACACCCTGCCCGCGCCGCAATTCCCGCACCGCGGCATCCTGCCCCCGCTCGCCGTCAGCGCCTTGCCCACGGCGTCCGCCTTGGAGTACAGCAGCGGCGCGCCGCCGAACTCGTACCGGATCGCCTGCTCGGGGTTCTGCGCCATGCGGTCCGCGAACTTCTGGAACACCGCGTCCATCGACGACTCGAACACGTCCTTGGTGTCCATCGCGCCGCTGCTGCCGCCCGGCCCGTCCGTGTCGACCTCCATCCGCGCGTTCTGCGGGATCGCCGCCGGCTCCGGGTCGAGCGTCTCGAACTCCGCGTCCGCGAGGTAGGACAGGCGGTACGGCTTCGGCTGCGCGGCGGCCTCGGGCCAGGGCTCCGGGGCGGGCGGCGGGCCCGACGGCGTTTGCGGGTTGTTCAGGGAGAGCGTCTCGGCGAAGGTCTTGGGGAGGTCGTCTGCGGCCGTGTCTGCGGGCTTCTTCGTCTCGGCGGGCTTGGAGAAGGGGTTGGACGCCGGCGCGGCGGTGCTGAACGGGCTGCTGCTGGACGAGCCCGTGCTGAAGGGGTTCGCGCTGCTGGCGAAGGGGTTCGCTCCGGTAGAGGCACCAGCGCCTCCGCCAAACAGCGCGCTGCCGAGGCCTGGGCCAGCCTCCTTCTTGGGCTCCTCCTCCTCCTTCCGCGGGGCCTCCTTCTGCGCGGGGATGGCCTTCTTGGCGGCGACGGCGGGTGCGTCCTTTGATATCCTGACGCCCCTGATGGCGCGGATGCTGCCCTGCTTGCGGCGGCAGGTGGGCTTGCGGCAGGCGAAGACGTAGAGGCGGCGCTCGTGGCCAGGGAACTTTTCGGGCAGCTCTCCGTTGAGCTGGAGTAGCTGAACCATGATATCGTTACAGACCTTGCAGCGCGCAAGGGCCGCGGAGGCGGGTTTCTCTGGGTTCAGCCATTCCTGTGGAAGAACCAGTGTCAGTTTGAGATGTGCTTTTTGGAGGGGCATCAGAGGGATTGCGATTAGGACTTACGGGGTGTCCGCCCAGGCGACTGATGGTATCTTCGTCAGCATCGCTCGTGGCGTATCCGAGCAGAACATTGGTCTCAGTGAATTCTTCCTGCGAGGAATCGCTGTCGTAGTCTGCCATCTTTATTTCTTTGTGTGCGCGTATGTGACTTTTGGACTGCTGGGTTGGGCTGCTGCCGTACGTGGGGTCAAGAATTTTTGGCTGTCGAAAATGTTCGATGCGGGGCTTATCTTATCGCACCTGTGGCGGGCGAGGGGTCAACGACGTCCTAAGCTAGCTGTCTCACACATGGGTCAGTTCAACGATTAAAGCAGGCATTGCACGCTACAATTCTCATATCTTGTTCGTAAATGGATATCATTCCAGTTCTCAGCTTTTGACAGGTCTAAGAGCAACGCCTTTTGTCTACCGTGCCAATACTTTACAACGAAAATCCGGTAAACCCATTACTCCTCAGGTCCGTCCATACCGGGGCCTGGGCCGCCTTGTCTGCCCATCTGTCTCGCCTTCAGCAACTCGTCGCACAGCAGCAGGTTGGAGGCAATGCTGGAGCTGGAGGCGATGCAGTTTCTCAGCACTCTGAAAGAGTCGAAGATTCCCTCAAGCTCGGGGTCCATCGGCTCACCCGTTGCGAGGTCCAAACCCACAACGTTGCCATCGGCGTGCTCATCTTGCATGGCAGCGACTGCAATGTGTCAGTTCAAGCGTAATAACAGACAGACAGAAATACTTACGGGCATCCTGGATGTCGAGACCAGCGTTGGCAGCCAGGGTCTTGGGAATGATGAGCAGAGCATCGGCGAATGCCTCAACACCCCACTTAGCCTTGCCCTTCACCGTCTTGGAGAAGGCATCGCTCTTCAGGTGCGCCGCGCAGGCCACCTGGAAAGCGCCGGCACCGGGTACAACGCTCTTGTCAACAATCATGTTGTAGACGCTGCGCAGACCGTCACGGACGGCATCGGTAACTTGGGTAATGGTGTGTGCGTTGGGGCCCTTGATGAGAAGGGTGACGGACTTGGGGTCCTTGACCTCCTCGATAAAGGTGTACTTCTCCTCGCCCAAGGTCTGCTCGTAGACGAGACCGGCCCATCCGAGGACATCGGGTGACAGGTCCTCGACACTGTTCTGTGCAACACCACCGCAGATGAGCTGCAGTCTCTCCATGTTTCTCCTCTTGGCGCGACGCAGAGCAAGGATGCCGTTCTTGGCCAGGACGTCCAGAGACAGGGGGTCGATACCCTTCTGGTTGATGATAACAAAGTTCTTGTTGGGGTCGTTCCCGCAAACCTCCTTCTTGAGCTCGACAATCTTCTTCAGCTTGGCGTCGACGAATCGGCGCTCGCTCTCCACCAGCTTGTCCCTTTGCTCCGCGCTAGAGTAGAAGAATCCAGAGTTAATCTCGGTCTTCTCGTACTCCAAGCTCACGTTCATCGTCAGGATGTAGGCGTTCTCGACGCGCTTCGGCATGTCGGGGTGGCGGGCGCCGTGGTCCAGAGCCAGACCCTTGATAAGCTGGGTGTCGGAGGCGGTACGGTGCTGCATCTTCATAATCTCAACCATGTGCAAGTCGGGCTTGGCGGGGGCCTGGTAGATGGCGAGCACGGCGTCCACGATATCGGGGGTGAGCTTGGCAGCGAGGCTAGAGTTGAGCTTCGTGGACAGCGATGTGCGGGCGACGGAAAGGAGCAACTCGCGGTCGACCTCCTTGGCGAGCTTGAAGCCATCGAGGAACTGTATATCCAGTCAGTTCCGCATTCTCTGCGTCGTGCCATCTGTGAATGACGCACCTTCAGGGCCTCGTTCTTTGCAATCTCGAAACCATCCGTGATAATTCTAGGGTGCAGTCCTTCCGAGATGTAGCG